GCTACCCCACGGCCTGAGCACCTGTGTATGACTTCGTCCCTCAAGTCAGCCTTGGCCAGGGCAGCCGTTGAGGTGCCAATGCTGAATCACATGTCCCCTGGCTTTGGATCACAGCATCGTGAGAAAAGCACAGCCCCCACCAGCCTCTGTGCTCTGGCTCACAATGAAATGTAACTTGGGCAGGAGTCACTGCAATTTTTTTTTTTCCTGGCCTGAAGGAATCAGGACATCAATAGCCAAATATTCAAGAATAGGATTCAGCAAACTACAGCCTATAGGCCAAATCCAGCCTGCTGCCTGTTTTTCTAAATAAAGTTTTATTGAGACATAGCCACACCCTTTCCTTTACATGTTGTCCATGGCAGCTTTCCCTCTACATCAGCAGATTGAGTAGTTGCAACAGAGAAGATATGGCCCACAAAGTAAAAAATATTTACTATCTCGCCCTTTACAGAAAATGTCGGCCAACCCTGTTCCAAAAGTAGAATAAGGATTTGGGGGAAAGCTGGAGAAAGGATTTTTAAAAAACCAACACACCTGTATTCTCCAGGAAAACATGAGGTGAAGACCAGAGTGAGGAAGGGGCCAGCATGGAAATCTAGTCCATGAGGCTAAGGAGGCCGCTGGGTGTCCAGTCTGCAACTCTCTGAAGACTGAGGCAGGAAACTGTTGTTTCCTAGGAAAAAGGGCTTAGCCTCCTATAACCAGTGAGGAATAAGAGATGATGGCTTCCTTAGAGCTGTCTCCATTTTCCAGAAAAGCTTCTTCTTCTGCGTTTCCCCGAAAATAAGACCGGGTCTTATATTAATTTTTGCTCCAACAATCTACATTTATTCATTGCTTCATGTACAAAAATCTACATTTATTCAAACAGTCATGTCTGGCTGACGATCTTAGCTGGGGCTTCTGTTTGGGGTAGGGCTTATATTACGAGCATCCTGAAAAATCATGCTAGGGCTTATTTTCTAGTTAGGTCTTATTTTCGGGGAAACATGGTAGGTGAAAATAATTGATGAGGGCTTTGCCAACCAGCATGTAGAGGCTGGAGGGAGAAAGGAGAGACTGCCCAGAAGACTGGGGAGATGTGGGTAGAAGCAGGTGGAGGAGTCTTTCAGAGGCTCAGGTTGGAGCTGTTAGGGTTGTTCTGAGTGGAATATCAGGAGACTGGCCCACTGGCTTCACGGAGAACCTGCACTCTTGGTACTTTGTATAAGAGAAGTAGTTTCTACACGCTCCTGGAAACGCTGTGTTGCCACTTAGCATTCTGAGGCTTCCGTCTGCCCACACTTCTGCCCCAGGAGATGCTTTTCAATTCCTTAGGAAACAAAATAGTCATCTGCCCAGAGAGACAAGCCCAGGTCCAGGGCATAGGAACTGAGTGTCAACTTCAGCCTCCCAAGGTCATGACACAGGTCTGTCGATTCCCTGGTGTCATGCTGTTTTACCTATAAGACAACTGCATTCCTGGCCTGGGGGGAGTCTTGCCTAAGCCCAGGCTTTGCCAGGCTTGGAACATGCAGCACTTGCTTGTTCGTACCATTGCCCAAGTTAGGGAAAGCCATTAGGTTGCGAGTATTCCAACAACGTATTGCTGCATAACAACCCCCCTCCGCCAAACTTGGTGGCTGAAAATAACAACAGTCATTTAGTCTGTTCATAATTTGAAATAGACGGAGTTTGGTTGAAAGAGCTCATCTCTGCTCCACTAGTGTCAGCTGGGGCAGCTCAGTGGGGTTGGAGGACACATTTCCATGATGGCGCGCTCATGTGGTTGCAGGTTGGTTCTGGCTGTCAGTGTCTCTCCACGTGAGCCTGTCCACGGGAAGCTTGGGCTTCCTTGAAGCATCGTGGCTCTGTCCCAAGAGCAAATGCCCCAGGAGGACTTGTAGGAACTTCCTCTATTGCTTTTTATGACTTAGCCTCAGAAGTCACTTCTACTGCAGCCACAAATCCACCCAGATTTGGA